CATAAAGTAACCAAATTTAATAAAAAATCAAACTAAATCGATATAAAATTGGATTAATTTAAATTATAAAATTTTAAAAATAATATAATTGGTTTAATTTATAGTTTTACTTTCAAACTATTCGAATTATCTTCTTACAATATAACTTAATTAATAATATAATTTTTTATAGTATTTTAAATTTTATTTATCTTATTTTACAAGATAATAACTTTATTAAATTAATTAAAAAACAAAAATAGAGAATCCTTACATTCCCTAATTTTTTTTTTCCTTTTTAATTGTACACTCTAATATTAATTTTAAATTTATAATTCACCTACAACTTTACCTATTGATCTATGACTTTATTCTTAAAATCCTAAATTTTAAATTTGTTTTTAAAATACTATTTTGATTCGCCTAACTAATCTTTAAAGAAGTATCATTTTAGAAATATTAAAACTACATAAGAGAACTAGTCTTGATATTCTATTATTTTTAGATATTTGGTTAAAGAATTTTAAATACCGATTATGAATGCTTCTAATCTTCTAATTAATTTTAGTGATATTCATGTTAAATTTTATTTTAACTTGTATATCTGATCTATATACCTAACTGATATACTTGACCTGTATCTAACTGATATACTTGACCTGTATACTTGACTTATATACCCAACTCATATAGTTGATTATATATTTACAATGCTTCATTAATCAATTATAGGAATATCATTTCAATTTACAATTTATACAAAAATTACTTATTGAAAACTGTTTTACAATCCTTTTTGTAAAATTATTTAAATGCCCTTGAAGAAATAATATAAAAACAAGATTAAGGGTATTTAAGTAATTTTATAGGACAGACTGCATATAGTCCGTCCTATAAAATATTTTTCTTAATTACTTAACTATAAAAGAATTTATAATATAATGATTATATTCTAGTTTTATATGTTTAATTTGTAATATAATGTTACAAAATTAAAATGTTTATTTTTTTTCTTTCTTATTGCATAATTTGTAATATAATGTTATGAAATTAAAATGTTTATTTTTTTTTCTTTCTTATTGCAAAGAAAATTCAACTAAAGGAAAGTCATGTAGATTTTGTTTGTATTTATTTTGTTGTTGTATATATAAACTTGTGTATCCATAAGTGTATATATTTACATATTTTGTTTTATATATAAACTTGTATTATATGTATAAGTGTATAGTTGTGTATTAACTTATATATATTTTAATGTAGAATTTAACAAATATACAAATATATCTATACCTAACAAGTTGAATAGCGAATATAAATTTTCAATACCCAACCCAAGCAAGTATTAAATATTACAATTCTATACTTCTCACGAGTTTAAATCAAGTACGAGTATAAACAAATACTTAACCCATACTTATCTATATTCACCTCTACAACAAAGATCACAGGGCCCCGTCAAGATCAACAGAAAAAATTTCCCCCAAAATTTTGGCGCCAAACAACTCAAATATGAAATCCCCAAAACTCTCATTCCCCGTAGTCCAAATCTTTCTATCCAGGAAACCCTAGAATGTCTACCACCATTTTCGTCGCCCTCCAATGTTGCCAATGCTCCACCATGCAGGCATCTCTTTCTTTCTCTTTCAAATTGTTCTTCTTTTCTTACACGTATGTTGAATCCAAAATGATTCGGAGGGCTGCCGGCATGTAATTTGTTTTGGTGTAATGCAATGCAGGTGAAGCAGCGGAAGAAGAGCAGCAACAAGTGGACCTGCGTCGTTTGCAACCAGAAGCAATCGGTTCGCAAAGTCTTTGCTCAGGGACCCATGGCCAAGGACCTCCGATTGTTCGTTCAGTCCTTCAATATGTCCCGCAAGATAGCCGATGAAAATCAACCGGCGGTGTCTGTGACGGACATTGATGAAGGGGACGGCGGTCATCGTATGGTGCTCGGCGATCAGAGGAAGCGGCGCACGGATTGGACGGAGTACCTTGATGCAGAGGATCATCAAGAACAACTAGTTACCCAGGAAGAAGAAGGTAATTTGATTGGATCTTTTCTGAATGAAGAGGGAGACTATTTTCCATTTTCTTTCTTCTGGTGCAGGAGGTGATTTTGAGCCAAAATTTGCGATGGAATTGCCCAAAGAGATGTTCAAAAGGCCGAAATTGAGGAATTATGGTGGTGGAGAAGGCGGCAGAGATTCTTACAAGCCAGTCTTTTCAAAAAGGAAAAGGAATGCCATCTCGCAAGGTAATAACCAAGATGGGTTTTTCTTCCCTGAGGAACCAACAGCAGCTTCATAAAATGCTTGAAAAAATCTGTTCATCTTTGAATTGCAGATGAGAAACCGATGGATTGTCAGAAAATGAAAGACAACAGGAGGATTGGTGCTTCCCAAAGGGGTAAGTGTGAGTCTATGGCAGAAACCCACAAAGAGTTAAGAACTTGGGAGTCAAAAACAGCAGGGGCAGCTTCAAAGTGGAATGCTTACATTACTCAAGAGGATGATGATGGCCTGCGTTTCAGAGGAGGCAAAACAGCTGCAGATCAGATAATGTGTGAATGGGGTAATGCTAGTTTGGAGAGTAATGCAGATGATCAAAAGGTAGAGGATGACATCCACCCAGATTTTTTGTGAAGTTCTGATAAGCAGATTTTCCCTCTAATCATTCAAATGAAAATTTGCATCTGTATGCCATTGTAACTCACATGAACAATTGAATAGACCAGCAATGGTTTAGATGCAAATCATGCAATATCTAGCTAAAAGTGAAAGCAACAAGCTTGTTTAGATGATGACATGAGATTCTTAAGATGGGCAGAGCTTAGAGCTTGCAGATATGCATCATATACAGAGCATATAAAAACATGAATACAATCATCACCATTCCACAAACAGAATGAAAGATTGAGTCTCAAATCAAATCCAATATTATATGTCCATAGGAATGATGTGGTCTACAGATATAGAAAGATTGACAACAATTCTAAATACTTAAAAAGGTCTTTAAAACCAAACATATCCTAAATATCAGTTTAGGAAAAATCCCCAAAAGAATTGATTTCAAAAGAACAAAATTGAATCCTATATTATATATGTTTACCGATAAGAATCAGGAGCAGTTTATTCATTCAGTGACAATGAGCCCAAATCATTGCTAACATCAGGTACTGTCACAGCATTTTCTTGAAGGACAGTCATTGCCTCGGCCACTTTCTCCTTAAGAGCATCTGGAGACTCCAACAGATGGAGCACCTCATTTTGGTCCATTTCCAGCAGCATCCCAGTCACCTTTGCCACATGCTGTGGTTCAAGACGCTGCACCAGTGGGAAAAGCTGCTCACCCAGCATCTGCAAATAAAAGAACAGTATTACAGACTATGATTAATTAAAAGATCTAAATCAATGTCAAATCTCAAAATTACGGAAAAGAGTAGGCTTCACGTACCATAGTACGATTCTCAGGGGAAGCAGAAGCTAAAGCAGTTGTAAGTGTTGAAAGGAGTGATCCAGGTCGATGGACATCAATCGGTGCGGCAGGCATTGCTGATACTTCAAATGGGACAGGCATAATAGGTCCCATCAGGCCTTGGGAAACCATAGCTGGGTCCATGCCATTTCTTCCACTGGCCGTATATCTAAACCCTTGGTTGGTATTACGGTGCAGCATCTTAATTTGGGAGGCCAGGCAAAAAGATAATACACACTTAGAATTCCAATCTAGAATCAATTACAAACTTGTGAAAAGAACAAAATAAAGAAACAAACATCAATATTACCTGTTGCTGCTGCATCTGTTGGGGGTTTCCTCCACGACGAACACCCATCCTCTGTCCTGGATGTACTTGTCGTTGAGCGTTGTATGGCACAATAAAATTTGGCACACCAGGACGCATGCCAGGCAACAGCTGCTGCTGGAATCCATACCCTGCAGGCTGGTGTGGTATCAAACCTGGAGTACTATGGCCAAAATAGAGCTGCTGAAGACCAAGCCTAGGAGCTGTAGGATGGAATCCAGGAATTCCTGAAGCCAATGGTGATATTGGCCCACGTGCACGGAGTTGAGAAAAATGTGCCTAAAGGGGAAATAATTTAGTAAAAGAAAGTCTTCAGGATTCAGGCATAATAATCAGTAAAAATTCAAAAGCACAAATAATAGGAACATAAAACTTCAATTCCACCCTGTCCATTTTCTAGCAGAAGGGGAAGAAAGAGAAATAGAAAAGAAACGAGTACAAGGAAAACTTCAGATGACAGGCACAGAACAAGCACTAATGGACGAAACTATCAGTCAAAAAAACCTGATGCTGATAAATAAATAAATAAATAAAAAGAGTCAAAACAACCTGATGACAAAGGAGTTGTTCTGCTACCTAAAGTATAGTAGGAAAAATGAGAACTTCAACTCAAAATTTAAAAAAAAAAAAAAAGGCTATCAAAATGAATCTCATAGAGAAGACACAAAGCCTGTAAATAGTTTACAAAACTCCTTTTCAAGGGTGCTAAACATATGGAAAGTAAAAATAGAGCAACAGACTTAATCAATAGCTTTCTCATTTGAAATTCTTTCATATAACTTAAAAGGGCTTTGCTTCCCCACAAATAAGTGGTAAATCAATTCTCAGGGAGAAGATTTGACTGGTAAAAGTTCCCATGTAACGGCAAAGGATGCATTAATCTCACCTGCAGCTGAGCCTTCCTTTCCTCTTTGCGTTGAGCCACAGCAACATACAGAGGTTTTTTTCCCATAATCTTTCCATTCATTTCATGCAACTAGAAAAATTGAGATAGGATAAACAAATAAATGCGAAATATGAAAAACCAGAAGCAGATTAACAACACACTCTGAAATGAATAATAAACTTACAGCTTTTGTGGCATCCTCAGGAGTAGAAAATGCAACAAAACCGGTGCCCTTACTAATCCCTTGCTGGTCAAGCATAACCTGAAAGTAATAGTTCAAGGTAAATGCTAAATGTTGCCCTAAGTCTTGTTACTATAGTCTAAAAGAACCAAAGGAACAACAGAAACTGAAATACAATGGAAGGAAAGGTAAATAAAATAAAAGAGTACAGATGTAAAATAATAATAATAATAATAATAATAATAATACCTTGCATGATGTAATAGTTCCAAAAGGAGAGAATAACTCCTTCAATTTTTCATCATTTATGCTGTCATCAAGATTTTTTATATACAAATTAGCACCTTGTAGTTTTTCAAATCTGCTGATCCTTTCCTGTTCAAATTTGGCTTTTAACTCTGCTTCCCTTTCTGCTTTCCTTTGAGCCCTTCCAACATACCACACCGTGTCATCATTTGTGGTCCCATTCAACATCTCAACAGCAGCAACAGCAGCATCTGGACTCTCAAAGTTCACAAAACCAAAACATCTGGACCTCCCATTTTGGTCCTTCATAACAACTGCACTGGTGATTGCACCACAAGTTCCAAAAACTTTCTTAAGGTCCTCATCAGTAGTTGTTTCAGACAAATTCTTAACATAAACATTAGTGAACTTCAGTGAAACATTTGACTGCACCCTCTCATGTCGTCGAACATGTTGTCCAACGTAAACTTGTTTATCATTTATCAGCATACCATTTAACTGCTTAATTGCAGTTTGTGCAGCTTCCTCACTTTCAAACTGTACAAAGCCAAACCCTCTAGATTGGCCATTGCTATCAGTGGCCACCTTGCAAGAGACTACAGTCCCAAAAATAGCAAAAGTGTCATGCAATGCCTTGTTGTCAATCGTGGTATCAAGGTTCTTGATAAAAACATTGGCATATCCACTCTTCCGAACACTGGGATCCCGGTGAGAGAACATGATCCTGATAGGTTTTCCATTGATAAGAGTGAAGTTCAGAAGTTCCCTGGCAGTAGCAGCTGCAATTCAACAAATCACAATTGGTGTCAAAGAAGCTATCACGCAAGAACAAAATTTGTAAAAATTGTAAAATTGAAGATGCAGAAAGTAGCAAGCTAACAATGCTATTGTCTTTTTGAACCACAGAATCTACAGACCCTTAAAATATGCCAAAATCTAGATTGAAATAAAGAATCCTAGATTCATCAATTATCTTATTAGCAAATTAGTAAAATAATCAAAATCAAATGCAAATTCTCTGTGATCAAGACAAAATTATATATCAATAAAAAGATAATAAAATAGAAACCCAGAACTGAAAAGAATCCAAACATGCTCCGATTGATCATATGAATATTACCCAATCAATCAAGATTGGAAACATCAAATTCAAAGTCAGATTCACATCCAAACACAAACACAAATACACCAGTCCAAATTTCACTGATATTACCGTCTTGAGGATTTCCATAATTGACATAAGCGTAACCGAGCGAGGATCTCTTGTTCTGATCCCTGCAAACCCTAATGGACAACACCTGAGCCACCTGTCCAAACAGATCGTATAATTGTCCCTCATCCACGCTCGGGTCCAGATCCCCCACGTATAGCGATGCATTCCCGTAAACCCCCGCCGGAACTGCCGCCACTGGAGCCGCTGCAACAGCCGCCGTCGCCATTTCAGTTATCTCCCACCCAAAAAAGAAAAAACCAAAAAAAATCCGATAAAATGGGAAACGAAAACCAAGATTCTGAGCAGAATTACTTCCGAGAATCCAAAATTAAATACTGCTAGAGATTGTTCTTCAGTGTCAATAAATTTTAAGATTTATTAAATTTTTTTGGAAATTTTTTTGAGATTTTTGCTTTAAAGTTCTCCAGAGAGAGAGAAATGGAGCGAACGGAGAGAGAGCGAAAATCGAACGGACGACGGAAGGTATTTATAGGAAGCCATTTCGAGGGAAAGCGGTGTGTCCGTTGGGCCGTGACGACTGGAGTGAGTGTGCACGTGCGTTTGGTGGGGTGGGGGGAAGGGTGGATGACGTGGCATTCTACGTGGGTGGGGACCAACACTGTTCTCTTGACTTTTGTTGATGTTTCTTCGTGAGTGGTGTTATGTATATATATTTTTTTAATTTTTTTATATAATTTGTATATGTTATTAAATAAGTTAATGTATTTAATATTATAAATTTTATATAAATTAAAAAATAAATTATTTTAATAATAAATCAAATTATTCACAAAAATAAAATAAAATAATTATACAAAAAATATTTTCCTTCTTGTTTGCCTACACGAAAATCGAAATCACGAATTTGTTGGTCCTTTTTTTTTCATAAAAAAACAAGTTAGGAAATCAAACTATTGTAATAATTAGGTTAAAATTTTATTTTGATCCTTGAATTATTATACAGACTTTTAATTTCATTCTTAAACTTAAAAAATTATTTATTTAATCCCTACTGTTTATCATTTTTACTTCGATTTAGTTCTTTCGTTAATTTTTCACATTAATTGATGGCCAAATAGAGAAGAAACATTACATGTCACACAAAAAATTGTCAAGTTGGCAAAAATAAATGATGTGGCCATTCCAACTCATCTCACCAAAAAAATTTTTTTTTTTTCCTTCCTCTCTTTCATTTACCATTTCTTCAACTTCTGCAAACCTTTTGCAAACCCTAAGATTTCAACCAATTTGTAACATCTCAACTAGTCTATTCATTTCAACTAATTTCTACTTTTACTGGGTTCATCATCATCATCATCAAACAATAAAACTCACAAAAAAAAAACAAAATTTTATTTTAAAATTTTTTGCTCATGGATTCTTTTGAACCCACCAAGCATGCTAGGTTCAATTGAACCCAGCACCTAGGTTCAATCAAACTCAACAGCACCCTTTCTTTCTCTTTTCACTTCCTTACCTTACCTTCTTCATCAATCAATTCTTCATCTTCATCATCAATTCATCATCATCATCAATTAACAAAACCAAAAAAAATAAAAAAAAAGAACTCAAACCCAAAAATCTTGGGTTCGATGGAAATCAGGTCCAATGGAACCCAGGACCTGGGTTCCAAGGAACCCAGCACATGGGTTTGAAGGACCCAGGCACACTAGGTTCCATGGGGGAGATTCGAAGGGGAAAGAAAAGGGGAAAGAGAAGGAAAAAGGAAAAAAAATTTACTTTTTAATTA